AAAGTAAATCAAGGGAAATAACTCTATAGACGTAATTGACGGAATTTGCCGAAATTCAATAGGCTTGTTCGTCTTCATTTCACTAATTTAGGTGATAACTGAAACTCAATAGGCTTGTTCGTTTTACTAATTTAAATGATACATATAAATTTCATACAGATCGGATAACATTTGTCGTTAGAGCGTTCACAAGGTGCAACAAAGTGAAACAAGGGCCATAACTCCAGAAGAAATTAACGGAAGTTATTGAAATTAAATCTCACTAATGCAAACAACATATATCAATTTCAAAACAATCGGATGATAAATGTAGTCTGTAGAGTGTTCACAAGAAATTGTGGACGATGGACGGACGGGGGCGACGGCAATATACGACCACATTTTCATGTGGGCGTATAAAAAGCGATTTTTCGTACAATCAGGGGCCATAATCTATTTAGTTATGGTCCGATATATGCCATTATCTAAAGGAACTGAGATCTTTGGGAGATAGACCTATATTTCAAGTTTCGTCAAAATCAAATAACCAGCGGCTGCCAGGCAGGATACGCCCACATTTTGCAACAGATGGATAGAGAACAAGCTAAAAACAAACGTGATTTTTTGTACAATCAGGGTTATAAACATGCATTTCAAATTTCATCAAAATCTGATGACAATTGTGACCGTCTGAGGGTCCATAACCCTGATACACTATTTGCGAACGAGGGGCGGCCATTTTGTCCGTCAGTTTCGGTCCAATTTTTACGAAATTCGAACTCAACCATCCTTAGGGTGTAATGGTGATATATTCAAACATTTTTTTAAATCGGATAAAAATTGTTACCTCTATGGGGTCCACAAGCTAAAAACAATGTGGGCGTATAAAAATTGCGACCCATAGTGGACGTCCGGATGTCCGGACAGGGGCGACGACAATATATGTCAACATGAAAATATGGGCGTATAAAAATGAAAGCTAACTTCTTACCTTGAACTTCTGATTTTTGCTTTATTTCTGGAACATCTAATTCAATAGTAGCCAAAAATTGATCATCGTCATCATCAAATTCATCCATGTGGGCAAAATAATCTTTTCACACATTACCTAGAATAAACAAGCCAACAGTGAGGCTGATGACCCCCGCCAAAATCTCAAAATAAATAGATGACACTATATTAATTAATCGCACATTTATTTTTTTCAAAAGTATCGAGCAATCAAACTATACACTAAGTTTCATCATCACTTTCTATCACATAGAATCAAAGTTATCTAGCATCGATCAATGAAATTGTTTAGCTCTGCTTAATAGCTTTAGTTTGAAATGTTAACCATTGAACTCAGTAAAGACATTCACCTAATGAACATCTATCTACATCAAGTTTAAACATTCTAGCTCAATTAAAAGTAGAGTTATGTTCCAAAGTCTTGACCAATCAAATTGCTTATCGTTCCTTAGCCTAAGCAGAAAATTCTCAACATTGAACTTAGTCAAAGTGATGATATAATGAATCTATATTCGGAGTTTTCATCACTCTCACTTCATTATAACCAAGGTTATCGTGCCCCAAAGCATCAACCAAGCAGATTGCTTATCTCTGCTTACCATAAGCAGACAATGTTTATCATCTAACTCCATCAAGGCATTCACCTAATCAACGCCTACACCAAGTTTGAACATTCTACCTCAATTAGAAGGAGAGTTATTGTGTTCCAAAGTCTCAATCAAATTGCTTATCGTTCTGCTTACCCTTCCCTGTGTTGGGCTAGTCATTCCTTACTGTGTTCTAGTGGGAAGGCATTTAGCAGAACTGGGGGCACTAATTTAGCCCAACATGAGTATTGTGGGGGGTCAGGGAATATAATTATTTGGAGTAGTATAATGTGTATTTTCATTTAATTATTGTAATTCTTATTATGTGTATTTTTATATAATTATTGTGATTCTTATGTGTAATTTTATATTAATTAATGTTTTAGTTACAATGTTTTCTAGTCATTTATTTCTTGTCAGTAATAAATGACATTTTACACCTGATCAAGTGTTGAGTTCGGTTATTGGGTGAGGGACACAAATTCCAAGAAATACATAGATAACATACGGTAGCCCCACTAAATCTTTTCAGATAGAACTGCAGTGTCAACCGAATGTTACAGTCTCCCTTCAGGTACATGTGCATGGAGACAATAAAGTAGGCTGGGGGGGGGGGGGTACTTTTGGGGGTAACTTTGGTTTACTACTTTGAAAACACTGCTTACTCTTAGAAAATTATGTTTGACCTGTATTGTATTATGTTTTTGTATGGGTTGTGAGGTATAGCAAACGCAACAAGTAATACAAGAAATTAATTATAAAACATAGGTGTCATCATCATATATTTGTAAATTTATATACATAATCAGCTAATTTAAAACATGCCAGAGGAATCATTTCTTGCTACAAATGACACACATTTATAATAATTCAACAATATTTTCAAGCGATATTTTGCGATTAAAAACATACACAAAATACATTTGAACTGATCAGACACTACAAGACTCGAACATGCAAAGACCATACATGTTTATTTAATTGCTAAATTTTCTACTTGAACATAGTGTTGAATTAATATAAATTTATGTCAGATATGACTAGAAATGATTCCTTTCGCAAAATATAAATATTCACTGTGAAAAATAGAAGGTAAGGGTTCCAAAGTAGCCTGAGAACAGAGGTGGGGGAAGAGCGGTGTTCACCGTATTTTCACATTGCAGCTATAAGCGATAGGACTATCAGCGGACAATCCGGACATAGTCCGATCAGAAACAGATCCTAATGGAACTACAGAAAGGTGTTCAGCTCTGAACGCAGGTCTCATTACACTCACCCTGTACGTTCAGGGACTCGTCTATTGAATCCTTGTCGAAACTAAAATCGCCCCCAGTCAATTTTACTGGGCAACTTTTTACTGCTAAACGTTCGCGTGTCAGTCCCTGTGAGCGCCTGAACAATGTAACTGACCATCTTAGTGAGAAAATAAGACCTTACTTACCTCGCTAGAAACGAAATTTAGGTGAGCCTGGGAGAAAAAAATTGAAATCTTTGTAAAGTTGAATTTAAATTATTGTAATTAGGCTAGGCAAAGCAATAAATGACTGAAGATTCTCAACTTTACAAAGATTTAAATTTTTTTCTCCCAGGCTTACCTAAATTTCGTTTCATCTTATATGGCCGAGTTCATAAATTTGTGCTTTACCATCACCCCACAACATAATACATGATTTCAGTGTATTCCTTGACCCCAAAAACATACGGTTAGACACCAAAATTATCATCCTAGAATAAATACTATGGGAGCTATAGGGGATTATTTGATGTGGCAGCCGTCTTTGACGCCATCTTGAATTTCTCAAAACGCTCAAGGGTGACCGAGGTTCACCCGACAGATTCTGAAAGAGGACACCATATGCTACTAAAATCAATCATAAAAAAAACTTTGTATATAATTTCCAGGTTCACTCGAAAAATTGGGTTTGGCGACTGGACTAGTGGGACATATTTTTAACAGCGTGATGGGTCGCTCGACGCTCATACTGGTTCTAGCGAGGTAAGCAAGCAGGGGCAAATTGGGCCATCGGCCAGTCAGACAAAAAATGAAAAAAATAATTTTGTCCAATTCGTCTAAAAAACCTTTTTCTGCTGAACATTATATGGGAGGTGGAGTATTGGACTGGCCATGGAGCGATGATGATCATGTTGCATGTGGCCAGTGGCTTTAACGGCCCCGCCATGCCATCACTGGAGTCTGGAATGGGCTGGTATAATAGCCTTTCTGGGCCGGGTGTGCTGGGTGTGGGCCGGAATTCGGAATCCTGCAATGGGGATTCCGAATTTCATCCCAAAATTTCATCGGATTCACCCGACACTGTCGCCCGCAAATTTACTAATTATTAAGTCACATGCACCCTGTTTGGGGTTATACATTACTTGCAGGTCGGGGTTTTGGCCTAAATTAATCGATATATGAGATATATTATCTGACAGAGATTATAATCAAATAAGCCACCAAATCGCATATTTGGGGTTCATTTTTCAAAATGTTCCCAGGGGAGAGCAGCCAGACCCCGAGTCCAGACTCTGCGGTCATTAAGAAAGGGGCCGCCCCGACACAGGGGCCCGGGCCGGTTCCCGGCCCCAATCCGCCCCTGTAAGCAAGGTCTTATTTTCTCAATAAGATGTTCAGTTACATTGTTTAGTCGCTCACAGGGACTGACACGCAACCGTTTAGCAGTAAAAAGTTGCCCAGTAAAATTGACTGGGGCCGATTTTCATTTCGACAAGGATTCAATAGAAGAGTCCCTGAACGTACAGGGTGAGTGTAAGGAGACCTACGTTCAGAGCTGAACTAACAGAAAGGAGGACCTGGCAAGTAAATACGTGCATGCCAACTTGCGACTAGTGGAAATAGACGTTGGCATGCAGTGCGCAGAAAAGGACCCTTGACTTTCATTGGAATTTGATGAAGAGTAGGCAGAAACACTGGAGTGGACTGGTTTCTGGATAAAACTTACTACATTGGTAATTATGACTGTCTTCACTAATTAGGTTAGTGCAGTAAAGTACGGATAATGACAACTATTAAATTCAATTATTTATGTATACGCCTCCCATAAAAACTAAGCCACTACCTTCTTCATAAACCGTATAAAAAAAGAATGAAATTATATTGCGCACATATTTATAGTTATCTTGTATGCACATGGCTCATCTGTCAACACTGACAAAATTTCCCGCCGTGAATAGGTCTTGATCATCCAGTTACCAAAATATTTACTGGATGATCAAGATAATTTGTTTACCGACGGTTGTCGTACATATTAATGAATCTTAAAGCACACTGTTGTTCTCTATTAAACGGTTCTGATTTGTTTAGTGCTCAGGTGATTGTAAAGAAATTAGGAGACAGATGTTAAAACTAAGGCAAAAGTGATGTTATATTGTTTTACGACAATGATATGCCATTTTATGGTAGCAATGGCGGCGCGAAATTTAATTTTTTCAACTTAAAATATGATTAAAATTAAAAGCAATGTAAAACAGAGTTTCACGTACGTTTAAAGGTGCCAACCCCTTATTATATTTTACTATTGACAACCAGGCAAAAAGAACTGGGACTAGTAGTTCGTTGATGAGATCGAACCCTGTTACGACTGACTGGAATTGAAAATAATAAAGATAGGCCTATATATATATATTATTTTCATTTCATTTCGATGTCCCGACAACGATTATGTGACGGCAATGCGGCATGCCGCGAGTACAACTCAAATGTGATGTCAGTCTGTTCATCTTGAAAGAGTAAGGAGCCTTCACTTAACAGTCTGTGGTGAAAGTTTTAGTTACGCTCCTGTGTTACCGGAAAAGAGCTTTGCTCAAGCACCGGGCTTCGCACAATGCTTTACAGCTTCGCTCTATATTATTGTACATTTTTATACGCCCACATGGAAATGTGGTCGTATATTGCCGTCGGTCCGTCCCTGGGTCCATCGTCCACAATTTCTTGTGAACACTCTACAGACTACAGTTATCATCTGATCTGTGTGAAATTGATATGCATCATTTAAATTAGTGAAACGAAGAAGCTTATTTAATTTCAATAACTTCCGTTAATTTCTTCTGGAGTTATGGCCCTTGTTTCACTTTGTTGCACCTTGTGAACGCTCTAACAACAAAAGTTATCAACCGATCTGTATGAAATTTATATGCATCATTTAAATTAGTAAAACAAAGAAGTCTATTGAATTTCAGCAATTTCCGTTAATTACATCTAGAGTTATGGCCCTTGTTTGACTTTGTTGAATCTTGTGAACGCTCTAATGACAACAGTTATCATCCGATCTGTTTGAAATTGAGATGCATCATTTAAATTAGTGAAACGAAAAAGCCTATTGAATTTCAGCAATTTCTGTTAATTATGCCGCGAGTTATGGCCCTTGTTTCACTTTGTTGTACCTTGTGAATGCCAACAACAAAAGTTATTATCCGATCTGTATGAAATTTATATGTATCATTTAAATTAGTAAAACAAAGAAGCCTATTGAGTTTCAGCAAATTTCCGTTAATTGAACGACAAAACTCCCGTCAAAAGGCAAAACCTAGTTAGGACCAAATTTGTAGTTACTAGGGTATGTGCTTCCTGTTGTTGTACTAGATATTCCAGTCTTTTGATTTTGTAAGCAGTTAAACCCATGACACAACCTAGCAACTTCCCTCATTTGCCTAGTATACCACATCAAAACCTAGTAACTCAATAGTCAAATCAATGGATGAGCTAGGGTTTAATATTCATGCATTACGTTTTCCTTCGTTTTCTCAAAATAAGAAAAAAGTGAGTTGCTAGGTTTTGCCTTTTGACAGGAGAAAAGTTATGACTTAATCTGTATGAAATTCATATGCATCATTTAAATTAGTGAAATAAAGAAGCCTATATTGAATGTCAACAATTTCCGTCAATTAATTCTAGAGTAATGGCCCTTGTTTTACTTTGTTGAACCTTGTGAACGTTCGAACGACAGAAGTTATCATCTGCTCTGTATGAAATTTATATGCATTATTTGAATTAGTAAAACGAAAAAGCCTGTCAAATTTCAACAATTTCTGTACATTACTTCCAGGGTTACTGCCCTTGTTTTAGTTTTTAGAACCTTGTGAAACCTCAAACGACGAAAATTATAATGTCATCTGTATGAAATTGTCTATTAAATTCCCCTAATTATCTACAAAAGAATAAATATGCGACCGCCTGGACGATTTAGCTGCTGTGGGCGTATGTTTTGTTGCCTGGCAACCTATCTTTATGTGTTACTATTTCATATACTGCTAAGCTCCTTTATCATTTTATCATGAATTATAAATTGTTTCAAGTTTAATAAGTGAACTGGAAATACTCAGGACAATTCTATGAAATACAATTTCTGTTTAAAGACTAGAGAAACCTACGTATTTCATATTAGGTGTTCCATATTTGTAAAAAAAATAATAATCATGTAATCAAATGGAAGGCTTTATTTTGATATAAAAAAGGCTCCACGTAAGTTCATTTTAGTATTATTCATAATCTTGTTTGCTTAAATCCAGACAGCAAAATGCAGTTTAAACAATTGGTCTCTTTTTTTACAGTAATAACTGGAATAACGTAGATTAAATAAAGTACCGGTAAGCAGGCAATGGCTGATAATGGAAGAGTCTTAATTCATGCTACAGTAACTGGTATCAGAGATAATGAGATTCTTTATCCAAGCTGTACACAGTGCTACTCTAAAATGCAGCAAGAAGAATATGAAAAAGAGTAAGTTTAAGTCTGTGTTTCATGACATTGTCATTCCATATCCTTTATATGTGTTAATTTTAAGTCCTGGTTTTCACAGTTGGTTAAAGTATGTACATGTAAGTCAGGTGAAAAAATATGACAATTTTATAATCTATTCATCTGGTCTGAGAATTTCAGTTCAAACCATTGATCCTTTAAGAACTGATCACTTAATTTGCTTCTACATGTATACTGAGCGCCATGGAAAACGCATCACTTTTTTTTTCCCAAATATGTTATTGTTACTAGGTGGTTTTGTATGTATAATATTATGCAATACTATGAATTATTGTTTCACACAATGCTCCCAAACGCAAAAAATATCGGCCCGTGTGCAAAAAAATAAATTGCACGAGATGCACATGAAAAACCCAATATGCACGTGCAGCATTGTGTGTGAGCCCTTTAAAAGCATGTTTTCAACTTAATGTGCAGTACATGAACTGTGAAACGTCAATCTGTCGTAATTTGTTGTTGGACGTGTGAAGGAATCGAGCTAGAGATGCCGAGACTTACTGAAAATCAACGGAATGAAGCCATGGGAATGTCCAGGGCTGGCATGTCTACACGTGCTATTGCCAGACACTTCAATTGTCATCAGTCCACTATTGTTCGAGTTACTGGATCAACACGTGACCGTCAACGTCCTGGTCCACAACGCGTTACAACCCAGGCTCAAGACCGCTACATCCGGGTCACTCATCTGCATGACAGATTCCGCCCAGCGACTCGAACAGGTGCAGCAGTCGTCGGAAGACAAGGACCAGTAAGTGCCAACACTGTAAGACGTCGTCTAAGAGAAGTAGGACTCCGTGCACGACGACCTTATGTTGGAGCTATCCTCAGGGATCATCACCGTCAGCGGCGTTTGATATGGGCTCAAGGACACCAGACATGGAGAAGAGTAGACTGGCAAAGTGTGCTCTTCAATGATGAGAGTCGCTTTCATCTTTATCACGCTGATGGCCGTCAACGTGTGTGGAGACATCTTGGGGAACGTCTTGCAGACTGCTGCGTCTTCGAAACGAATCGATGGGGTGGGGGAAGTGTAATGGTGTGGGGAGGCTTCACATTTCATCACCGGACCGCCCTACACATTTGCAGGGGTCGCGTTAATGCTGTAGCCTACCTACCGTGATGATGTCTTGCAACCAATTGTTGTTCCAATGTTTCGAGCGCACCCACAACTTCAGCACTTCCAACAGGATAATGCACGTCCGCATACCGCCCGTTTTAGTATGGACTACCTGGTTGCTAACAACATCAATGTCTTGGACTGGCCAGCCATGTCTCCGGACATGGCACCGATAGAACATGTCTGGGATGAGATTGGACGCCGTCTGTATCGGAGACCACAGGTGCACAACATTGCTGCTTTCAAGAATGGAACAATTTGCCCCAGGCCTTCTTTCAAACATTGGTAAATTCCATGCGATGTCGCTGCACAGCGTGCGTAAGAGCCCATCGAGGACACACGTGCTACTGACATCTGTGTCGTACTTTTGGTTTTGACCACTCTGACTTTGTACCGTTGATTACAGATTAAACATCCATAAGTGTACAAATGTGTTGTTATTGATGTGTTCCCATTTGAATATTGTTCACAATAAGAAGCAAAATAAATAAGATATGTTTACAGGATCATTTTGTTATACGAAAAACTAAGTGATGTGTTTTCCATGGCGCTCAGTATATAAGCGACTTTATGATCGGGACAGCAATCACTAAAACTATAACTTGGGCAAGTGTATAGACATGGTAGCACAGAATCTTCCGCAGCATGGTCTTTGCAAATGTATGACCAGTGCCAAATGAAAACTACAGGTATAATATGTCAGGGACTGCTTCTTTCTTTAAGGAATAAGGAATTAGATAAATATAGATTTCCTAGCATTAAAAAGAATTGATTTGTGTAGTGCGCACTAAATTTTAAAAGTATGACCGATGTCTAGGTCATATGTTATTTTATTATTTTTCAATTCTGTTTTAAATTTCAAAGCTATATTTTAATTTTCATTAATGCTTGGTTAGTCATTAGAGGCAGGCAGCAATTAACCTGTCAGTCAAATTATGACAGGCTGGCAACTAAAGTGGTTGATCCGTTAAGTCTCATCTAACTATTGTTTTAAATGCCTTAAGTCTTAATCCTTCAATAATTATATGTTTATGTCAACACTTTCTAAGTAACTGATTTGTATAAATAGACAAATGTATGTTAAATGAGGATATTAGTTGGAGAGACCAGCTTAGGGAACATACTAGTTGGAGGTCCGATATATATGAAATTATAAGTTGTTAAATTGTTGCTGTTAATTATTTGCTCCTGAAATAAAGTGTTGAAGATCCATTCCAAGAATCTGTATTCATTTCTGATACTTAGAGAACACACGTCGACGAGCTACATTCCCTGAAAGTCGAACGGTGTTATATGGTGGAGAAAGCGGGCAGAGTGAACAAAATTGTCTACTCTTGATTCCGGTACAGCTAAGCGAGATAAATTGTAAACATATTTGGAAGAAGAAAGGATGGATATCAACATTATTCTTCCTTCAGCAGCAGTAGCAGCAATAAGAAGTCTGTCAACTACCAATGTCTTGGAGTCTCAAACAGGATAGGGGTTCTACAGAAATCAGCTTTAAATGGGGCTTCTCAGAAAATTCATTACCCAGTCCGGAAAAGAAATATCGTTCTTTTGCCAAAAGACAAAGGGATAGACAGCGGCAGCTAGAATTTTTTGCTAAGAAGGATGCCCAAAAAGTACAGATTTCTGTGGTCTCCAGTAAAAAGGATGTGGGTGTCCAAAATGTTCCTGATACTAAAGATGTGGCTGTTGGGAATAACCCTGTGTTAATGGTGACAAGAGAAACAATGTGTCATCCTGCCAATAGCCATGATAAAGGTTGTCAAATATATTTGGACAGTGCGGCAGCGATGAAAGATGTTTCAAGTTCTAGTGCCAAAAGTACCAGCAGTCAAGACCATCGATATGTAGGAATTTGTTCAACAAATCCACCTGTACAAGTGTCCGACAAAGTGCTTAGACAAAGAGTTAAGAACACAAAACAAGAATATCTCATTCAGTGGAAGAATTCTTGGGTTCGTGAGGAGGAACTAGATTATTGTGCTCAACAATACATAAATGCGAAGTCAAATAGAATACAAGGACCCAAATTATGTTTACCAAATGAAAAAGTTAACCAGTACAATTTGCAAGAACATTATTTTATGAAATTATTATCATGAAAAAAGGGATAGATTATGTTACTTTGATTAATCGAAAAATAAGGTTTTTTGATTTTATTAAATGCTTAAAACATGGGGTCATGTTTTTGTTTGAAGTAAGGGGGATATATGACCGATGTCTAGGTCATATGTTATTTTATTATTTTTCAATTCTGTTTTAAATTTCAAAGCTATATTTTAATTTTCATTAATGCTTGGTTAATCATTAGAGGCAGGCAGCAATTAACCTGTCAGTCAAATTATGACGGGCTGGCAACTAAAGTGGTTGATCCGTTAAGTCTCATCTAACTATTGTTTTAAATGCCTTAAGTCTTAATCCTTCAATAATTATATGTTTATGTCAACACTTTCTAAGTAACTGATTTGTATAAATAGACAAATGTATGTTAGATGAGGATATTAGTTGGAGAGACCAGCTTAGGGAACCTATACTAGTTGGAGGTCCGATATATATGAAATTATAAGTTGTTAAATTGTTGCTGTTAATTATTTGCTCCTGAAATAAAGTGTTGAAGATCCATTCCAAGAATCTGTATTCATTTCTGATACTTAGAGAACACACGTCGACGAGCTACATTCCCTGAAAGTCGAACGGTGTTAAAAGTTTGTTGACTAAGTTTATTAACATCTGGATCATTTTGATCCGTTGATACAGACTTAATAATAACAAAACTGTTCACCAAAATCATTGTAATAATCTATATTATTTTTGTTCAATTATTAATTTCTTTTTTAGTTGGTTCTGTTTTAAATGTGATATCTTCTGTGATGAAATAAAAGTATCTTGGCGGTATCGTCTTTCTCTGACTGTTGCAGATAAAAATTGTTTGACAGAGATTGCACTATTTGGAAAAACTTTGGAACCATATTTTGGAACTACAGCCAACAAATTTCACAGGTAAAATTAATGGTATATAAAATTCTGTGCTGAAAAGTTTTGGGATTGTTTGCTAAAAAAATCATCACATTGGTTCTTAACTACATGTACACTGTATTTAATGTAGACATATTTTGTTGTCGCCCACATGCTTCAAAGGGTAATAAGGGTTGTAAATTTCAAATGTATACTAAATTTGAAAAAAATTAGCTGTAGTAATGGAGTTGCACATCCAAGCCACCATTGGGGTGCTTTTGAGATATTTTCGTGGTCAGAGGTCAAATAAGTTCATTTGCACTGAAAGGGAATGCGCAGCCATTCTTGTATCATGAAAATAAGCTGGAAATAATCGAAAGTAATCATCCTTTCAATAAAAATGTAAACTTGCTAAATTCACCTTTGTTCTTTGTGTCCCTGGAGGTCAAAAGGTCAAATTTTCCATTTTAGCACTAGGAAGATTTAAAGCAAAAAATCTCAGCGTAAAATATACAAACTGAAGCGAAACCTGTTCTAATTAATAATAGGAACATTTAAAATTGATCTTTAGGTGGTCTTAGCACCAAACTTTTACTTTGGAACTTCGAAAAAGATCTTGCATAACAGAACCAAAACACTTCGAAACCGGTTTCAAAAATACATAAAAACTGTCAAATCAAAATCTCTCCGATTTAGTTTCACAACGAATGCTATACATAATGATACTAGTTGTCTGATAAAACAATGAGCCTCTTGTCTAATAGAGTTTATCAATTTAATTATGCTTTGCTTTGAAAATAATCAATTGAGATGACCTGTAGGCATCTTAAAAAGTATTAATCTCAGAGTAGTTTTGTTGAGAATCGAAGAGGATTTTTTGCTAGTGTCATTTGTTACCATAATGACTTCTTTATTTATATTTCATTATTTTTTATTTTCAGAATTCTTGAAAAACTTGATGAAGATAATCTACTAGAAAAAACTATGCTTATGTCCGCTTTAGAAGATACGTTTCTTGGTCATAGTTTTCATTTTGGAATCAAATCTAATGCTAGACTCACCGAATTACAAAAATTCCATTCACTTTCTTCTCCAATCTCAGTTTCAACTGTTTCTAAAATAAAGCATGGAGATGAAGCAAGTCAGCAATTTAAATCTGATTTAGTGGCAGTGCAGATTATCTCCCCTGCTAATGTATCATTCAACTGTAATACAGTTCTTTATAACCTTTATAAATACACAGATATTTATAGTGAAAACTCAGAGACAGATAGAGAAAATCCTTCAAGTTTGGAGGAGAAAATTGATAGGACAAACTGTAGTTACCTCCCTTGTAATATCACAAACCTAACAATAAACTCCCCAAACAGATGTCCTCAAAATTCCATTGAATTCAGTTATGATAAATCTGTACAAAGTACTAATAGTGTGATAGAATTTAATAACAGTGATCTTTCATTATCGAAAACATCTCATGTGACTTTAGAAACTGTTTCAAATAATGTGAAATCTTTTAATTGCGATTGTAGTGAACATTCCGTTGAAATTTTACGAACTGTTGACCTTAGTGGCAGTATTTCTGATATCCCAGAAGCATGCAACTCATCAATTAAAATGAATGTTTCAACTCATAAAGATTTACAAAATTTTAATCAATTAAGAAATGTGGAAAATTGTACAGCTTTATTCCAAACTGAAGAAACATGTGATACATTAAGTGACTGTGATGTTATAAAACAACTGGAAATAGTCGAGATGGACTTGTTATATAATAATCTATCTCTTTCAGATTGGGAAAATTCCAGAAATATTTCAGATCATCCAATGATAACAGTGACTCAGGTGGACAAGTTGAACACGTCCGATCTTCATTCGCCAATAAACGATACAAATGTTGTGATAGACCCTTTACAACATCAAATTTTAGATTTACCCGAGTCTGAAAACTTGGATGACTTTTTGTGTAGTTATTCAGATTCTACTAGCAATGAAAGTAAGCTTTCTACCACTAACAAATTTATGCCGGAAGTATACAGTGGTGCACAACACATAGAAAATCAAACTAAAAACATTCCTGGAAATTCCAGTAGTGAAATAAAAACATATAATTCACATGATCTGACAAAGGTAAAAAGTTTGACAAAACATGAAATCCTGCAACAGGACATAAATCATACAGAAAAAAATGAACAAATTAAAGACTTAAGTGAGCTCGACAAACTAGAGTGTGAATACTTAGATATGTTTTTATCTGATGACAAATTTGAGTCACAGATATTTGAAGGGCTTGTAGAGAAAGAAAGCGCAGCAGAAATTACGAATCAAAATCTAAAGGAGGTAACCAAACAATTAAGTGATGTGGAGTTTCGCGAATTCAAAAATTTTGAAACGTTTTGGGCTGATGAAACATTTAATTCACAGATATTGAATCAATTGGAGAAGCAGGAAAGGCTACAAGATTTTAGAACTAAAATGAATCAAAATCTTAAAGATGTAACAAAACAATCAAAAGCTGTGGACTTTCTGGAAATGGAAAATATAGATATGTTTTTATCTGATGAAACATTTAAGTCACAAATATTGAATCAATTCAAGCAGGAAATTCCACAAGATATTAGAATAGAAACAAAGAATCAAACTCTCAAGGATAAAGTAAAACAAACAAAAGCTGTGGACTTTCTGGAATCTGAAAATTTAGATATATTTTTATCTGATGAACCATTTAAGTCACAAATATTGAATCTAGGAAAGCATGTAAGTCTGCAAGATGTTCGAATGGAATCAAAGAATCAAAATCTCAAGGATATAGCAAAACAAACAAAAGCTGAGGACTTTCGTAAGTCTGAAAATTTAGATATATTTTTATCTGATGAAATATTTATGACACATGTTTTGAATCTAGGAAAGCAGGAGAGTCAACAGGATTTCAGAACTAAAACGAAGCAAAATCTCATGGATATAGCAAAACAATCAAAAGCTGTGGACTTTCTTGAATCAGAAAATCAAACAGAAACAAAGAATCAAAATCGCAAATCTCTAACCAAACAAACGAAAGATGCAGACTTTCCTGAATCTGAAAATTTAGAAATCTTTCTCTCCAGCTATCATTGTGATTCCATTGTTGATTCCGAGAAAAATGGAAACATACAAACTAAAAATGTGAATTTAGAAGAATTGACTAAACCACAAACTGATAAATTTGACTTGAATGTATTTGAAACTGAAACAGAGGATTTATTTTCTGATTCGTACACTGTTGATGGTTATGGTGTTTCTCGTGAAACTAGTTCCAATCCTCAACATAAAACTGTGGGTTATGACACGAAACATGTGATAAAAAGAGACAGTATTTGTGATAATTCAAATGTGTCAGAAACAGAAATGTTTAATTCATTCATGACTTACAGTTCTTCATTTTCAGAAAATGTTGGTAACTTCATAAACAATAGTTCTTTATTATCCACAAGTAAACCTCAAAGTAATAGTTTGTTTGACTCTCAAAATGGTTCTGTTGATTTATTCAGTTCTTTTTCATCTGTAGAAGACAGCAAAGACTATTCCATTTCTGATGTTGCAAAACCAAAACCAGATGCACCAAATACCATTCAAAACTCTTATTTAGAGCTATCAAAATTATATCCTTTGAAACAAATTGTTTCTGAAACAGTGCTACCGAAAAGAGTGCAGTTTGCAAGAAGGCTGAGTTCAGTTCGAAACCTACAACTTGTTGATATTAGACTAAATATGCGTCAGACATCCAGTCCATTTTCTGAAGACTTTCAACTAAAATCATGTTTGCGAAAAAAGAGTGTTGAAAATTTAGATCTGTCTCTTTTTTCACAGGATCTCTTTTCTCCAAGCCCAATTAGAACTCCATTTTCTAGGAAGACAAAATATAAACTTCCTGTCGTTAGTGAATATAAGAATACTGCTACAGATAATCAGCCAGTTGAAACTCCTTTAAAACATAGACCTATTCAATCATTATTACATTCTGATGTTTCTCCTTGCAGTCATAATCAAACTCAACACCCAAATTTTCAGTATTCCCCAGATTTATTCAGTCCATAGTGATATGTTTCCTTGACAGTCGAGCTCCTAAATATATAGTCGATGATTGTAAAATTTATTTAAACTACTGGTGAAAATATATTTGATACCAAAACTATTATATCCTAAAAGACACTTCAAGCCAGGCATATTTTCTATATTACAAATACTGTCACAGATGTCATTATAAATGATGTATCACCCTAGTTGTCATATATGTCCCGAGTGAAAGCGGACATTAAACCTATTCACAGATGACTGGATGAGCCAACTATTAATGAACAGAGTTACGATGTCCAAAAACTGGCAAACAGTGTTGGCTTATTATGTAATTTAGGTATAATTTCCTTTGTCTTCAGAAACACCATTTTTTCATACTTTATTTGGTTAAATATATGACCCAATTATGCTTAAAGTAATATTTCTTTAAGTTAGATATTTGTAATGAAATAATATCTACTTTCTATATAATCTTCCCATATTTTTATTTATATGAATTTTGTAAATGTTTAATTACGCTACAGATATTTGTACAAAGCACGGGCTGATTTTTAAGCATACCAGTACATGTACACATGTATACCTATGGAAGTTATTTTTATTACACTGTGTTGTTTAATTGAACTTAATTTTGTTTTATATGAAAAAATAAGCGATCAGAAAACAATCTTTGCAAAATAATTTTTTACCAGATTTTGTTCAACCCCCTATTTCATTTAGGTATCAAAATTACAGCGTAATATATTTAAATCTTTCGCTGATTTGTGAACTGAAATCAATTTTGTTCGGTGTTGGCTATACATAAATTAAATTAATTTAAATTAAATCATACATAAATTATGGTCATTAGAATGATGAAAAGATTGGTAATGTAAGAATTTGAAAATTCTCAACTTAAATGATATGTATATTTTTTTGTTGAGACTGACTAAATTATGATTGTTATTGTATATTTTGGATTTGGTATATTTTATTATTTGTTTTAATTGTCTATATATACATTTATTTAACAAAGATATGCTTTTAAATAGAAATATGTAAAAAGTATAACTATATACCCAATATCATTCAAATTGCTCAAGACAGTTTATGATAGTACATGTATCAACATCTATAGTCTTTTAAACATGGGGAATATACAAAGTTTCCTGTTCACAGATTTTCTTTTTACTTATGTAAATTGGTCCTCCCAGGTTAATCATCTTGTTATTGGAGCGACGCTCTTTGAAAATGTCTAAGGCAACTCCAATCCATTTACGATCGACAAGAAACTTGGCAACGTTGTTCCTTGGACAGTTTCACATTGATTGACGCACTTCGAGTTTTGATATGACGTCACAATTTCAATTTGTTTCAGTCCGAAATGGAGTTTCCTCCCCTTGTCAACCATTAGAATCGTGTCAAATGAAAATTGCGTCTTTTCTACCGCTGACAATCGCCCAAGATTTTTGAACTACCTACAAAATGGTGCTTAATGCTTTATAAGTATGGACCATGCCCATAGCCAGGCTAGCTTAGGAGGGGCAGTGAGGTTGTTTTTTTTGTGGGGGGGGGGGGGGGGGCAAACCTGGCACTGTCTACAGTAGGTATTTTAGAGCTATGGTCGGCAAATTTTTTTTCGGGGGAGGGGGGGGGACAAAACATTTTTTGCCCCCCTCTGGTATGACCAAATATATACTCAAAACATTAACAAATATGATAAAGGAATCGTCAAAAAACTTTAAAAAACGTTGCAGCCGATACAGGAAATTTGAAAAACGGGCATGCAAAAGAACGTTTTTCTACGGATTTTTTTTTTTTACTTTTTCTTCATAAAAAATCATTTTTGTTACATGATAGTTTAAAACAGTTTTTAAGATTCATTTTTATACGTCCACATGCCAAAAGTTATCATCCGATCTTTGTAAAATTTATATGAATGATTTAAATTAGTGAAACAAAGAAGTCTATTGAATTTCAGCAATTTCCGTCAATTACTTCTAGAGTTATGGCCCTTGTAGGCTCTAACCTCTAAAGTTATCTGCCGATCTGTATGAAATTTATATGTGCCATTTAAGTTAGTAAAAAGAACAATCTTATTGAATTTCAGCAATTTCCGTTTATTACGTTTAGAATTATGGCTCGTTTCACTTTATTGAACCTTGTGAACGCTCTAAACACCGAAAGTTATCATCCGATCTTTGTGAAATTTATATGCATTATTTAAATTAGGGAAACCACGAAGCCTAATGAATTTCAGCAATTTACAATCATTACTTCTAGAGTTATGGCCCTTGTTTCACTTTGTTCAACCTTATTAAGGCTCGATTGCTGAAAGTTATCATCCGATATGTATGAAATTTATATGCATCATTTAAATTTGAGAAACAGAGCTCTGTTGAATTTAAGCACTTTCCATTAATAATTTTTAGAGTTATGGCGATTGTGAACCTTGTGAACGTTTGAATGACAAAAGTGATCATCTGATCTGTATGAAATTTATATGCATTATTTAAATTAGTAAAACGAAAAAGCCTGTCAAATTTCAACAATTTATGTAGATTACATCCAGAGTTGAGACCCTTGTTTCAGTTTTCAGAACCCTGTGAACCCTCACAATTATAATTTGATCTGTATGGAACTGTCTTGAAAAGGCCCCCAATTACCTACAAAGGAATAAATATGCGACAACCTTTGTCGACCGCATGGACGATTTAGCTACTGTGGGCGTATGTTTCGTTGCCTAGCAACCTATCTTTTTTCGTTTTATATGTTCGCGCAATATAGTCATTTGGTGTCAGTTCCGTATCGATAATTTCTTACATGAAAGCATGTAATATTTCCAACAAAGAGATTGGCGTGCACGTAAAAAAGACTATTGGCAGTTGGAATTTGATATAAGAGTAGGCCACATTGCCGCTGTCCGGGCAAAATTACCCTCATAGCACACTGTATGGCGTATGCCCATCTTCATTAGCTTAGTTGGTGCAGAACTGTAGGACTATACACCTCTTTTCATCTCCCTTTCCATGTATCTCAAATTTGTCATCCTTTATTGGAAATGGCTATCATATAAAAACGACCCTAGAAAAACCCAAATCCCACGACTACCGATAATCAGGAATAGTTTACGAGAACCCCCTAAATGTGGAAACAGAATTGACAAATAAGTTGACGAGGACAATATGAGGCGTTCCTGATGTATTGTTTCTCCCACCTTACCCAATCCTGTATCTTGTCATATCGGGAGGGGATCACGTGGCTAAGTGGGTAAGACGCTAGCTCGCTAGCCTGGAGGTCGGGTGTTCGATCCCTGCATTGGCCGAGGAAGTTCATCCAGATTTTCCGGCGTGGTTCTCCCTTGTCAGTGATGCAGGACGGATGGGACGAAAAACCGAGGTCCCGTGTACACATTGGCGTGCACGTAAAAGATCCCTTGGCAGTTGGAATTCGATATAAGAGTAGGCCGTAGTGCCGCTGTCCGGGCAAAATTTCCCTCATAGCACACTGTATGGCGTATGCCCGTCTTCATTAGCCCATGTTAGGAGCAGAACAGTAGGACGTTAAACTCCATTGCATTTGTCATATCGGGAGGAAACCGGAGAAACACTCACGTTGTACACTCTAATTTTAAAGCCCATTCACCTAAATCATCGGCGGCACAGTCGATAAAGCTGCTGGTGGGTGTCTTATTCATGCTGCCTTTTACACTTTGCCATTATATAACCACCGTGTGAATAGCTTTTACGTGAAAAACTGTACTAATTTACACTTTTAAGGCATTATTTATACCTTTCTGCAATTCGTCCATAAGCCTTCCCCGTCGAATTCCAAACTAAGTAAGTTGCTCGGGATTCTCAAGGTGTTTTCTCCTTGTCAGTGATGCAAGACGGTGGGCCTGACAAGGCCCTTGTCTGGTCGTTCGGACAAAAACCCAGGTCCCGTGTACACATCAGCGTGCATGTAAAAGAACCCTTGACAGTTGGAATTAGAAATAAAAGTAGGGCGTAAAACCCGGTCAAAATAATTCTCAGATAGCACACTATAAGGCGTATGTCAGTCTTCATTAGCCCAATCGGTGCAGAAAAGTAGGATGTTAAACCCCATTTCATTTTCAAACAACTACTTGAAACGTAGTATTAATTTACTATACACAGGACATTATTCGTATTCTAGTTCGCTCAGTTTACCACGTGTAACCAACTTGCTAGATTTAAATCGTCGTCATTACTTTCAGTAAATGGTGTATAAGTAAAATGAAATAGTGATAATTGTATCCTCGAGAGATATACTATCGATATTGATATTAATGGTATTAGCGATATTAATTGAATTATTGGTATTGAAATAATCTCATGTGTGTATTAATTTATTAACATTATATAGTCAATAGATATATACGTATAATATATTATATGTTTATCTCTGTTGAAATACACATTCCTACAAAAATGAGCGTTATATGGTGGTATATTGTTACCAACCATGCCCGTCCATTTGTTCACATTTTCTTGTAACAGTGAAAAGATATCGATACTTTTTATACGCCCACATTTTCATGTGGATGTATATTGTCGTCGTCCGTCCGTCCACAATTGTTTGTGAACAGTCTACAGGTCACAATTTTTATCCGATTTCAATGAAACTTGAAATATAGGTTTATCACCCTAAGATCTCGGTTCCTTTCGATATTGGCATATATCGGACTGTAACTTCATGGATTATGGCCCCTGATTGTACGAAAAATCACGTGTTTAGCTTGTGAACACTGTAGAGGTCACAATTTTTATCCGATTTGGTTTAAACTTGAAATGTATGCTTTTAACCCAAAGATCTCGGTTCCTGTCGATTTCGCGCATATCGGACCGTAACTTCCTGAATTATGGCCCCTGATTGTACGAAAATCGCGTTTTTAGCTTGTGGACCCTATAAAGGTCATAATTTTTATCCGATTTAAAAAAATGTTTTATTATATCACCGTTACACCCTAAGGGCGGCTGAGTTCGAATTTCGTGAAAATCGGCCCAAAACTGACAGACAAAATGGCCGCCCTTCGTTCTCAAATAGCGTAAAAATTTGGTATATCAAGGTTGTTGACCCTATAGAGGTCACAATTTTAATCCTATTTTGATGAAACTTGAAATGTAAGTTTATAACCCAAAGATCTCGGTTCCTTTCGATATATTCGCGCATATCGGAACGTAACTTCCTGAATTATGGCCCCAGATTGTACAAAAAATCGGGTTTTTAGCTTGTGGACCCTATAGAGGTCATCATTTTTATCCGATTTAAAAAAAAACGTGTTATTATATCACCGTTACACCCTAAGGACGACTGAGTTCGAATTTAGTGAAAATCGGCCCAAAAATGGCCGCCGTTCGTTCTCAAATAGCGTAAAAATATGGTATATCAAGGTTGGGGACCCTATAGAGGTCATAATTTTTATCCGATTTTGTTGAAACTTGATATGTAAGTTTATAACCAAAAGATCTCGGTTCCTTTCGATATTTGCGCATATCGAATTGTAATTTTCTGAATTATGGCCCTTGATTGTAGGAAAAATCACTTTCATTTTAGCTTGTTCTCTATCCATCTCTCGAAAATGTGGGCGTATCCTGCCTGGCAGCCGCTGGTTTAAAACATTCATAATGTGGGTAATCTAACGAAAAGTGGTGTATTTCTTCCGCCATTGGATGGGACCCCTCATTTCTTTGGCAGTGAAATAAAATGTAGAATTTTCCATTCGGAACAGCCAGAAAACAGCACCCATTTAGCGACTGGACCCCCCCCCCCCCACCCCAAAATTTTTTTT